GGAGATACATGACGTGAAAATTGAAGTGATATACATATTTATGATATATTATAACCATATATATCTAAAATTCGAGGCTATGTAGAATTCATCATTTCTTTGTTCTTTTCTTCTCTATTGAGGAAATACCTGTTCATCATTGTTCTTGAAGACAGAATCTCTTCTTTTCCTGCTTCTATCAAGAACAATTGTTTTTGCAGTCTTACATAAATTGCCAGGTGCTCCTCCTTGTGCAATCGATGAACCGCCATCACACTATTCCCAGTTTCCACATTTAGAAGCAACATCATCATCTTGACACTGCATCGAAAAGAATACATCGAGTGCACTCACATTCAACTTCTTCAGCATTGATCTTGTGTTCGTCGTATCGCCCTTTTGACTTAAGAAACTGGAGAATGTTGGCTTGTAAGGTAGAGTAGCTCGGTTTTGTATCTCCTCCATCGATTGCATCCAAGACGAGAGATCTTTGGTCTCCTTAGTTTAATCTTTGCCAGCCTTTTCCATCAAACAAAGGCCAGTAGATGTTGGTCGGCTTGCATCACAGTGCCACTCTGCATGCTGCTAAAGGCATTAGCTTCGGCCTTCTCCAACCTCCACAGTCACCGTCACCCCCTCCACTACCACAAAAGGCGTACTTTACAATCATGTACGCTCCCATTCCTTGCCCTCTACGACTCCCCTACCTCCCCAAATAAATGTAGACACACCCCCTACATGATCAAAACCATCATGGACCAACGTAGCAAAATGACCATGAGGAGGCTTGGGAAGCCCTTCCTCTGGTTCTCAGCCATTTCCTTTGCACTCGTCTCCGTTCTACTATCCTTCAACACCTTTCCTCCTGCTACAGTCCTTTCTGAGACTCCCACTAGCAGTGGCGACCTACTCGGTAACATCGTGAGCAGTGTGCTAAGCCCGAGCTCAGCCTTCATCGACAATGTCGTGTCTTTGATCGAGCAAGTGCTGTGGCGAGGGCACCACCACCACCACCACCGCCACCGCCGGCAAAATCACCGGAGGAGACGACGTAGAGCATGCGACAACTCGAAGTGGGTGTCGCCGCTCGCGTTGGAGCAGAATGCAACACTAATCCTGACAGTGGATCAGAAAGGGTGCGCAAACTTCAGCAGCGTGCAGAGAGCAATCGACGCCGTGCCAGACTACAGTCCGAGTCGGACTCTCATCATCCTCGACTCCGGCGTATACAGGTTTCTACTCCATGCGACAAGTCCTACTTTCTTGCTTGTTGACTGTGACTCAGACAACCGACGGAGGTGTTTTTGTTGTGAGGCAGGGAGAAGTTATTCGTGTGGGCTAACAAGACCAACATCACAATGCAAGGCCAAGGTTTCTTGAACACCTCCATTGCATGGAACGACACCGCCAACTCCACTGGAGGAACTATCTACAGTGCTTCTGTCTCCATCTTTTCCTTCAATTTCATAGCATACAACATAAGTTTTCAGGCAAGCAGTCCACCGTCAAATGACTTGGTTCTTTTGTTAGCTACTCTGTTTCCGATTATACATGGTATAATGCAGAACACAGCACCTCCTGCATCCCCTGGCGACGTTGGAGCGCAAGCGGTGGCGCTTAGGATAGCCGGAGACCAAGCAGCCCTCTATGGCTGCGGATTCTACGGGGCGCAAGACACGCTGCTCGACGAGCGCGGGAGGCATTACTTTCGTGAGTGCTTCATCGAAGGCTCGATCGATTTCATCTTTGGCAACGCCAGATCACTGTACGAGGTAAAAAGAATTGTTTTGCGTCCACTGCTCGATAGGTGTCGAAGTGCATTTACTAAAGCAGTTTGGTGTTCGACACATTGCCATGCAGGCCTGCACGATCAATTCCATAGCAAAGCAAGCAACCAGCGACGTGGGCGGTGTCACCGGATGCATCACGGCTCATGGAAGGTCGTCGGCGACCGAGAAGACGGGGTTTTCCTTCGTCAATTGCAGCATCGGTGGAACAGGGAAAGTGTGGCTTGGCAGAGCATGGTGGCCTTACGCAACCGTGGTCTTCTCCAGAACGTACATGGCGAGCATCATAGCTCCTGAAGGATGGAATGACTGGAATGATCCGAGCAGAGACCAGTCTGTGGTTGATCTTTAATACAAGTTTCTGATTTCCTCATACTCCTTCTCTGATCATATCTATAATGCCAACTCAAATCGTTGATATCTGCAAAAGACATTTTACTTGGATCTATGCTCTTGCAGGTCAGTATACTTTGGCGAGTATGAATGCATGGGTCCAGGAGCCAACTACACACTAAGAACATCATATGCTAAGCAACTGGATCAATGCCAAGCAGCCTCCTTCATGGACATCTCCTACGTCGAAGGGAAGGATTGGGTGCTTCCTCCTAATCACAACAACTGGTACAATCCATGTGAGAAACGAAGGCACCGAGCTCATATCAGAACAAACCAAGCTGAAATGGATGATCAGAAGGCAGAAGACATGTAATCCAAGCGCTTCATGTCGATTTACATCACCTGTTTCCTGACAAGATACTACTAAAAGGGCAATTATCGATTTCTCATAATAGAGAAATGACATCATTATTCAATATAGTAAGTTAAGATACTTGATGTGAGTGTCTCTGTACTATGAAATTGATGGCTCATTCTGTGGTTTCCAATGTTTAAGATAGTTGATTGATCTATTTGGAACAAGTTTTCTTTTTCTTCAAGTTCTTTTAGTCCTCCATACACTTGCTGAGCTTAAAACAGAAGAATTCAGCCCTGAAGTCCCCCATGCACAATGCGGAAGCTTCAAGGAAAAAGATGCTTGTTTTCAGATGTTCCGTGGACATCAAGATAGCTTCTTAAATCTCAATCCCACACAGAGTTCAATTAACTACTCGTTCCCTTGAATCATAAGCTTCGGCTTTCGGCTATGTTTGGAGAACGAGCGTTTCTGCTAAACAATCAATGCTTCCACTTTACTGACCATGTTGGATCACACTGTTCTTTCATATTGAGCTTTTGATAGTGAACCATTCATTGCTTAGCTCTCATGTTATTATCTTCCTAATTTGGACATCCACTGTATCTAATATATTCTTTCGATACATATTAAAGTAGTTTGCTACGCACAGAAACTATATTTGCCTTCTCATTTCTTTCAAAGTTCAAGAAGACAAATATTTAAAGGTCATTAATAGACTCTCTCAAATGAGTATTTATAGGTCGTTTATAGGAAACAGGACACGACGCAGCTTCGCAGCCCGACTTAAGCCACGATAGGCTGACGTGGGGCTAAGGAGAGTAAGGTGTGGTCGCGACGGCGGCGCCAGCACCGCGAAATCGTTACCTTCGGTCTTTCTTTCGAGTATCGACACTTATTTTTTACCAGCACGTCACCTACCTGCCTGGTGATTGGCAAGGCCGATGGCCCCACAGGTGGATGCGACTAGGACGATGGACCCACAGTTGAATGTATTTTCGTTAACCAGAAAAGAAGCGGAATCTTTTCCTTGTTCACCTTACCGTACGTACACGTAGATGCCTTTTATCTAATTGCATGCCTTCATATGTGGGATCCACCAACGGGTATGCGCACGAGTCTAACATGTAGTATTGTTGTGTCGCCTTCTCAGAATTTGGAGGAATAAGAAAGGCTGACGGCGACCCTCTCGCTTCGCGTCGGCCATGGCTCAGGGAACCCTCGCTGGAATCCCACACGTCCTGGTCTTGGGGTTCCGCCGCACCCTCCTGGTAGAATACCCGAACTCTCGAAATCGATACTCTGTCTGATCCCATCCTTTTTTCCCGCCCTCGATCAGTGATTTTGCGGGTTGGTCGATGTTATTGATTCGGATGATGATCTCGAGCGGTTTTTTAGTCGGATTTGACCGGTTGGAGTTGGGTTTGTTTTGGAATTCTGCTGATTTTTTTTTTTTTTATCTATGTGCTTGTCTTTCTTGTCTATTGATATTGCCGAGGCGATCCGAGCATGTGTTCTGTGGCTTTTGATTTGCTCTCGTTGTTTCATGATTGGATAGTATTAGTTATTGAATTTAGATGTTTGTATATGTAGATGGATGGACCATTCACTCTAGATGCAAATGTTGGATTGAATGAAGTAGAAGGCTTTCGGTGTTCCAGCCAAAAGATGCATAAAGGCTATGGATTGCAGTAGGCAATACGAACCCCGTTGGCATTGATTAAATATCAAGCCTTCCGTAGATGGTTGCCATCTGCTGATAAAGTTTTCAGGACTTCACTGATGATATTCACATGTCAAATAAATTGACTTTAAGAATGCTTCAGATTAAGTACATAAAAGATGCATAAACATGTTAAGATCCTTATAGTAAATGTTATTTATCTAGTTCACTTTGTCTACGCATAAATACTCCTGCTTTGAACTTGTACAACATCATTTTCAGTTTATATCATAGGTAGATTGACTTTTTTTAATGGCATCTTTATTCAGTCAAGCTATAACATCATTTCGATTAGCACTACTCAGATGTTTTTGTCTTATCACTTAAAATTAATGAAAGAAAAATAATTAATAATGAATGGACTTATCCAATTCTGGATTTGCCATCCAAAACTATATAATATGTATAAATGTATATCATTTAAAATTCTTTGAGAATGGAGAAGAGAATCCATAATGAAAGTTGACCGGATATGGCCTAGGTGAATTTAGGCATCTGCCTATACAGGTTGGGAAAGGTCAATGTACGGTGACTTGAGTCTTGGTCACCCATGTTCCAAAGAAGCAAACTTACCATGTTGTCAAGGTGTAAGCTTACAGATATGACAGATTCCATACTCAATTCAAACTGGACTCATTCGAAACCTGTACTTTAAACCAAGTTATATCAATTTGTCATTGTGCATAATATCACCCTCATGATTACATGTTGCTCATTAATATCTATAGTGATAAATTAATAGGTTTCTTAGTTCTTACACATGAAATTTCCAGTATTCGAAGAGTTCCAATCAAAACCTGTTTGTGTGTTTTGCGGTGTCCTCAAAACTTGGAAGAGCATGAACTGCTGTCATAACCAGCCATGGAACATCATCTGCAGTCTTTTCAGGACTACTTTTTTATACTAATCTGGACACCTCAACTCTTGACACTTACTAAGCACCTCCCGCAGTTATCAACGAAAGATGAGGAGGATGCTTGCCCCATTTGCCTTGAAGGTAAATGTCACAATTTTTTTTTCTATGTTCAGAGAACCATTTCTTCCTGCACAATACTTCAAGTTTCTCATGAACTTAACTCAATTATTTATATATATTTTGAAACTGTTTATAGCAATTATACATGTGCTTTAACTGTATCTTGATTATACTTATTTTCTGGCAATCCTTTTTACTCCTGAAATTACATAAATCAAAACTAATTTCTAAGATTTTTTTCTTTTATGCAAAGGGTAAGTGACGAAGGCGGGATTTGAGCCCACGATATTGTGATAAACTGTTAAAGTCTTTACTAGCTAAGCTAGCAGACACCTTCATTTTTTGCAAATTCATTTTTTTCTCCTTTTAGTTAATGATCTATTATATGATATGGAAAAACTCTATTTGGCATGTGCCGTAGACGACATGTCCATTTTCTGGTGAATATATGGGCCTCTCTTGGATATGGACAATTTGGATGTTTCCTCTTTGGTTGGTGACGTTTCTATTTATCTATTTATTCAACCAAATGAAGTAGTCCGTTTTTTTGCTAGGGCTGCTTTGTCATTAGCAGTTTGTTGTGACAATATTACTAGACTATTTTTGTTTACAATGTTTGTGTCCATTGTGCTTTCTGCATTGGGCTTTGACCTTCAACGAGGTAATACTAATGTGGTACTATTGAAGTTTTTTCTGTGTCATGCTTTCTTTTGAGAGTAAATCCACTTTGACATTATAAATTAAGTTGATTTGCATTCTAAGTGCAACTCTCTGTTAGCATGAAGGAATCAGGTTGAGACCTGCATGTGAACACATCTTCCTTGAGGAACATTAATGTTTCCAAGTATTCAGTGTTTAGTCCGATCCTGAAAATATTTTGACATAGACCAAGATTAAAAAGGACATTTCCAAGTATTACAAATCTCATGAAATTCCTTATCTCCTTTCTTTTTGACAGATTATGATGCAGAGAATCCACACGTTATGACAAAGTGTGAACACCATTTCCATTGTGTTGCATTCTTGAATGGATGGAGAGATGAGACACCTGTGCCATCTGTGACCAGGTATGCACGCAGAGAAGTTCATCATTGTCTGTTTGGCAACTTTATTTTGTTACATTCATCACCTGGTACAGTTTCATTTATTTCTATGCAGTATTGGCATTTAGCATTTATGTCTTCATGTAGATAGAGTAAATATACCAATAATCACCTTAAGATTCTTAGTTTTCTTCCCATCTTTTAAGCATCTTGGCAGTTGGTTTCTCTAGCCTTTTCCAGAATAACAAGAATCTAAAGATGAAGTTTCTCATTGAGAAATTCTGAAGAAATGCATGTCAAATTCCTTGATATTTGTTGTAGCATTTTGTAGTTCGGTGCCTAATTTTTTTATGTTAGTGCACAGTTTTCATCTAAAAAATGAAACAACAGAATTTCAAGGATTGTAGATTCCATTTTTTTTTAAAAATATCTATTCCTTGTCTTGCAGGTCTTCTATATGTTCATGGTATAATCATGCAGTTTTCATTTTGCAGATAATGATGATCAACACCAGGTATAACATGGTGTCTCCTGAAAAGAGTTTTTAGTGGGCAACCCTTTCGAATGGAGACTCATCCAAATGAAAACTTCTTACTCTTTTGTGCAGGACTGTGCCAGAAAAACAAATGTGGCTAGAAGCAATTTGATGTTTTGGTTGAGAGTTTAGATGTCTGGGTCAATTTCTTCTGAATTCCTGTTGTGGAACAGTAGGAAACAAAAAGGTAAATGATTGTAATTCCTGGTTGAAATTATTATCATGCAAATCCTTTTTTGTTTGTTCTAGTGTCACCAAAGCAGGTACAGGTGTGTGCCTGGCAATCGTTTCTGCATTTTGTTAGTCTCCTTCTCCAAGTTTCTCTTCAGTTTCTTTCTCCGTTTGTATAGTCTTTCGATATGAATAGGTGATATTTGATGCTATTAATCATCACCTTTTCTTTGTAGATGTTCATCATGTTGGCTATCATGATCAAGTCTATATTGACTCAACTAAAAATGCATACTTAAAGTTCATTTCTTATATTAATTCTTCATAGGTTTTGGGTCATATGAACTTGTTTCTCCAAACGTGAGCGGTCTCCTGCATCGGATCGAGTCATCAACTAACTTGTTCTTGTGCCTTTTGTGTTGTACAGGGGAGTATCTGGGTTAGGATCCTCTCGCATGCTTGACTCAATACATCTGAAGATCTTGCAGTCACGACAATGAGCATAAGGTGAGATTTTGCTGTTACTGGTTCTTTCTCTGGCAGAATAGTTTTGACTGGTTTCAGTGGTATCTGATGCCACTCCGAGTCTGCAGGAACTAGTGGTTCAGCACGGACGCACACACACGACTGGAGTCGAGCGTTTGTACGCTTGCCAAGCCGATACTCTTATTATAACTGATCTGGGCGAATGCTTTCCTTTGTGTTCGGAAGAGCCTAAAATGCATAGGTTTTCTATTTCCTTGATATTGGGATGTGAATGTAACACTCTTACCACCCAGTTTTTGTTCTCCAGGCAAGTTAGAGATCGTCCGTTTGGAGTATGAAGCGTGAAAGTCCTGTGAATTGAGTGTCGTCAAAGTTCAAATTCCACAACAGTCGTGAATCCTACAATCCAGATTGCTAGTGATGTCAGGCAAAATTTGGTCCAGGTATTGAATCAACTTGCCTTGCACGAAACCTACAGTCGTTTTCCGGTTTCCTGTGTATTCATTATAGCTACACCTCCTAATTTCTAGCTTTTCGACTTTCCGCTTGGACTTTAGTCTCTCGTCCCAATCGAACGGGTCTTGTAAGTAACAAAAAGTTATTTGTCTTGCGCGCGCCCTGTTTTCGACACTCTCCTCTGGCCTTTCCGTTCTTTTGGGCTGACACTCTCATAGGAGCATCCATCCCTTGCAAGTCACCATAGCAGCGGCTTCCTCGTCCTTCTGCAATGCTTTTGATTTACGTTTCACAGGGGGTGGCTGCGATCGCATGCGCTTGAAGTAGCGAATAAAGGACCGTGCGAGAAGCTAAGGAGAAGACTGTCACACTTTGTAACGCTGGTATGGTCTTCTCATCTTGGGTGCATGCATTAGTCATAATCAACTATTTAAATATATCATGAGGTGGCCCGAACTGGGAGATCAAAAGTCTTCGTCATGCACTTTTCAATGAAATTAATGCTTTAATACGATGCAATGGATCAAATCGAACTTGCATATATGCAAATAATAGATAGGAAACTATATTTTTCTACTTGTGGCCTGTGGTGTTTTGGGCGTAAAGAAGTTTCCTTGTTCGAGAACGATGGTTCTCTAACCAATCATCGGTGCCGCATTAACTCCCATCCCAATCATGTGGGTGTGGATCCATTAGGCTTTGCCCTGATCCCAAACATACAACACATACCGATACAAAATTAAGCCGGTGGTATTGCCATGTCTATCCTTGCAAAACTTGTCATTTATTCGATCATTATAACGAGGTTTTTTGAGAAGCAGTAGGTCAAAATGTCCCAAGGTAATTCGAGAAGTCAAATATTAATACAAGACTCATCGAGTCTTTTCGACATCGGGCGTTGTTCTATTTTCAATAGAAACTTCCGATGAAGGGAATTGCGAGTGCGTACCCACTCTCGCAAGCTGGGACCAAAGACCTTTGTCGTAGGATCCCATCCAATTATTGCCCCGAAATAACACGATTGGAGTGATCGGATGACCGGGTTGACGGGGTGTGACGCGGGATCTGGGCATGAGGAGTGTTATTTAAAATAGTCGTTGGATGGGATACTCGGCATAGACTTTTACTACTTACTCCACCGGGTCCCACGGTTGATGAAGTCCCGCTTAAAGCACGCCGGACGGGCGCACGGTAAGGCGACGTCCTGGAGAATTTTGTTTCGCGGTTGCCACGCCGGCGTTCGCCGCCTCCGATGAATCTAAGATCCGAATCGCAGCCCGGAGGGCGGAAATCTAGGTCCTCCTTCGTCGCGACCCCGGACCGATGGGAGAACTCGCGGAGCTCTGCCGCCTCCTTCGCGTCCTCGGCCGCCATGGGCGGCAGAAAGTCGCCGGTTCGCAAGCGGAACGCGTTCAAGGCCTTCCTCAGGGCGTTCGTCTCGTTCTTCTCCTCATCCTCCTTCAAGCCTGAGATCACGTCGCCGAGACCGAGGACGACTCGAACCCTCGAGTCTCCTTACGGTATGCTCTGCCTCTTGGTCTGGACGTTCGGTTCCTTTTTCCCTTCCGGCTACATGGTACAAGTTGGTAATCCTGTTGGATAATTGTTGTTCTCGATATAGACATCCTATTTTGAGATTTTGAATCTCTTCTTGTCCTCAACTTGACTCGCTCATACTGGCATTTCGAATGCTGGAAACCGAGGAAATTAGCTTTCAGTGATATCTCCAAAGGTACAAGTTTTATAGTATCCATAACTTGGTTATGTTTTTCTTGAACTTTGATATTGAGAGATCGTTAACCGGAAAGTCCAATCCCTTTTTTGAATTCCCTGTTTCTATCATTATGTTGTGATTAACTGGAAATTCCCTTGCCATCCTTCATCTTTTGAATGCCTTCTTACTTTTGTTAAGTGTGTGTTTCTGAATTAGGATTTGTACAGAATGATTCCACACGAAGGGATTGAGTTCTGAATTTTTAGATTTCCTGCAACGCCGGAATGGAATTAAACTATTTACTGATCATTTTGTAGCAACGCCTAGTCGTCTTTCGCATTCTAGCTTGAGGGAATCAAGAAAAGGGACAATCCATGGCAGAGATTCACCATGGCAGAGAGAAACTGGGAGTACACAGTTCACCATGGAGGAGATCTTGAAAGCAACGAAGAACTTCTCCCCATCGTTAAAGATTGGGCAAGGTGGGTTTGGTACAGTCTATAAAGCGACACTTGACGATGGCACACCCATTGCAGTTAAACGCGCCAAGAAGGTTAGAGGAGTCCCTTGCTGGTTTTGCCATTGAATGTGGCAGCTTATTGCTGATGTGAACTTTTAAATTTTTTGATGTTCTATGCAGAGCACGTATGAGAATCATCTGAGTGTCGAGTTCCAGAGTGAGATCAACATATTGGGACAAATTGAGCACTTGAATTTGGTTAGATTCTTTGGTTATTTGGAGGATAATGACGAGAGGGTCGTTGTTACTGAATATGTGCCTAATGGAACCCTAAGAGAGCATCTTGATGGTAAGGATTCTTCTGCTTTCATCATCACAAGTCCATCATGGACAACCTTTCATGTGATCGAGTCCCATTTTTGTCTGTTGGCATTGAATTCGTAGTTTGTTGTTGAGGAGAATGAATAGTGGCTAACTTGCACTCTGGGAAATACAGGATTTCGTGGAAACTTTCTTGAGCTTTCAGCACGACTTGATATTGCAGTTGATGTAGCTCATGCTGTCACATACCTTCATATGTACGCAGGTTAGATTGAGAGAAACGATTGATTCTGTTACTTGTTTTTTTCCTATCAGTGCAAGCTGAAAATTGCAAAAGGATTTCAGAATATCTTTTATGCTATTTATGTAGGGAATAAATTTTACCTGTGCACCTGCAACTTCCTTCTATGTGTGCCATCACTGAATTTACAAAGTTTAACCTAAGTATAATCAGCTTCTTCAATTGAATTGATCTCATGGAAAAATAAAGGAAAGGAAATCATTTGTTGATACTAAATATTTAGCTCAATGCCTTCTTTTTCATTTTTCTAGTAATACATTATAATTTAAAGGATTTAAAGAAATAAAAGGAATCGGTGCTGATGTAGTTTCTCAATAAACTTACTTGCAAACTTTAAATGCTAGTCTTGTGTGAAATACAATGTATGGATCTGTTCTTGTGCATCAATGCTTGATAAATTAATTTTAATAGACCTCTTCATTTTCTTTCCCTTGCATTTGACCATAAAGTGAGGGTACTTAGGAATGGAATATCATTTCATAATTCATCCTTTCTACGATGGGGAATTGGGGGCTTGACAGTGGAGGTAATTACTGTGTATGTGCTAGGGCCCTCCTGGCATCAGCTGTTGGCTTTGTTCTTAAAAGATTTCAAAATTAGGGTGTTGAGTATGTTGGTTAGTTTTTTTTTATTTATATTCCTTTGAACGTTTTTTTGTCATGAATTGTACTGGAACTTATTTTCCCATTTCCTATTTAATGCCCCTACTATTACATAAAACAAGAACTTAGTGGCAGAATGATTCTTGTGCCTCCTCTGTTCATGTTTCAAATACGGAAAGCCCTTGCCTGTTAATATGATAATGGGTGACTTTTTGTCAGTCTTTTTCTATTTTTGGAAACTGGAGAAGTTGTTTTATCATGGTTGGAAAAGGAATCATTTATGATTTATGCAGTGGTATTTCAGTTGCAAATGTTTTGGTGGACAATGTACTAGATACTCATGCTATTCACTACTTAATGATGCATGTCTCTTTATATCTTATATTTTTCTGGCTTTGTGATTTGGTCTTTTGGTAGACAACCAGCATGGAAATCCTTGTCTGCTTCATTCTTAATCTTCTGTCTTGTAGTTCTGTTTGCTCCATATTTTTGGTCTTACAGGTTGGGCTCAATGATGAACATGGGTTTCTGTGATGTATTCTGGTACTATTTAATATATTGTGCAAATTTAACATAATCAACAATGGTGTATGCTTCAGGATTCTGCTGCATGGACTTTAAAGAGTTTAAGATCTCTTTCTCATCTGAAGAAAATCGAACCAGATTTTACTTTGGAAAAATGAACACTGTTATAGCCAATAATATCATGGTTTGACCTTTACATTGACAAGTTAATACACCACCTCTGATCAGCCAAAAATATGTGGGGTCAAGTAACCCTGAAACTGGGTTCATGATAGTAGTAGTAATATGTATGTCTTCGTATTTGGCAGTTAAGTAGTGTTATCACAGCTACATCCTTAATAACCAGAAAACAAATGTCTTAAGCTGTACCCACAAGTTGACTTTTCTTTGTCACTGTCTACCCTGAATTGATGTTTTTATACTTTATACACCTTAGATCTGTGGGTTCTTGGTCACATCGGATTAATAAACTGGTCAGCTTCATCGATTTTTGCCTGATACTGCCATATTCTGTGTCTGTTTGGTCGAAAAACTGAAACAGTTGTTTCACTAAATCTATTTTCATTGTGCAAGTTTCTACATTTCTATACATCAAACTCCTATTATAACAATGCATGCTTCTCCCGAGTTATTTAAGATTGTTTGACTAAGACAACAATTGTATTATTTATCATTTAATATCTGCACTGATCCATTGATTTGTTTATGATGCAGACCATCCAATTATCCACAGAGACATCAAATCATCTAATATTCTTCTTACTGAAAACTTGCGGGCTAAGGTTGCTGATTTTGGCTTTGCCCGGTTCGGTATAAACGAGGCTGGAGTTACCCATATTTCCACCCAAGTAAAAGGGACTGCTGGTTATTTGGACCCAGAGTATCTTAGAACGTATCAACTCACAGACAAAAGTGATGTGTACTCATTTGGTGTGTTGCTAGTAGAATTAATATCTTCACGGCGCCCTATAGAGCGTAAACGAGAACTCAAGGAAAGGATAACAATAAAATGGGTATATCCTCTTTCATAAGCTTTTTTTAATACATTTCATGATGTTTATTTTGGAATCATAAGACCACCTTGTGATCTAAACCTTATTTTACATCATCTCTTATGATCTCATAAATCTATCTGGACAGGCGTTGAAGAACTTCCAACAAGGGAAAACAATTCAAGTTTTGGACCATAATATTCCACATACTCCGGCAAATAATCTGGCTTTGGAGAAGATTCTTGAGCTGGCTTTCCAGTGTTTAGCTCCTTCAAGGCAAAGTAGACCCAGCATGCGGAGCTGTGCTGAAATATTATGGAACATTCGGAAGGACTACAGAGAGTTGTTGTCTTCAGATCTCCTCTCTCAGACTTCGCATCAAAGAAACCTTTCCATTAGCGGAGATGAAACTTAAAGTGATATTAAGATACGTATGCAGTAAAAAGTAGCTCAACTTGCAAACTCAGCGCTCTCTAGCATCACTGGTTGTACATACAAGACTTATAGAGAACATGTCGAAAAGATGATTTCATTAATATTTTGAGAAGGAATGAGTACCGTTGGTGAACTGATGTGTCGTGGCTAGTAAGTCAGCAAGGCTTGGTCCACGGGTCGATGTCGGGAGTCTTCGGTCGGATGAGCTGGTCGCCGAGGTCGATTGAGCCCTTGCGATGGGGTGTCGGCACTGGGGTGTTGATCAGCGTCTCTCGGTCCGGATGTCAGTTAGCAGCTCGTCGTCTAGACGTTGGTCGACGATTCCAAGGTCGGAACGCTCGTGGCTCGAAGGTGGTCGTTTTATTGCAAAAATGGCCTTCGTCGAGTAATTACCGACTGTGGCCATTCCGACGAGTAAGTTGGTCGTGGGTTGATTTATTCTTTTTTTGCCTCCCCCTGGGCTCGATGTCGACCTGGGGTTTTTGAGAGGGCGAGGGGCACGTCTGGGTTGGAATGTCATGGTTGCGTTGATTGCTTGTGAGGGAAAGCCGGATTGGCTCGTCATGAGGCAGTTCGGGTGCGGTGCCCTATGCTTTGGGAAGGATTTGCATCGTCGCACCATCGATCGGGTGGCTGGGCCTATGCAGGATGATGTTGGTGAGTCGTTGGTCAGGAGACCGAACTATGTGAGCCGGGAGGAGATGACCTGTTGGCCGAGTAACTGATCTCGAGCTTAGGCTTATGGCTGGTGAGTCGCAAGTCAGAAGACCGATCAAGTGTGACTCAGATAAAGACTGGCTAATCGCAAGTCGGGAACCGATCTAGCGCGACTAGGATGAAGACTGGGCCCGTGGGCCAAGGGTCTGCACTCGGGCTCAGGCTGGACTGGCGAGTCGTAAGTCAGAGGATCGATCTAGCACGATTCGGATAAAGACTAGCTAGTCGCAAGTCGGGAACCGATCTGGCATGACTAGGATGAAGACTGGGCTTGTGGGCCGAGGGTCTGCACTCGGGCTCAGGTTGAACTGGCGAGTCGCAAGTCGGAGGATCGA